TGGTGCACCTACACTGTAGAAGGACTGCAGTTTGACACCATAGTTTAATACTGCAGAGTTGTAGTTTTACAAGGGATGTAGCCTTCTTTGGCAAATATCTCACAAAAAGACAAATCTGAGAATCCTAGAGTATTGAATCATAGCAGTGACTTTGATGTCACACTCATATAATTCTGTACTTCAGATATAACCTAGGTCTTCCATACTGTATGGTCAACTTCTGTCAGTTGTTAACCATCAGGAAATTCCTAGAGAAAACATACTAAGAAAATCAACGAAAAACCAAATCTGAAACATCAAACTCACAAATGTAGAGGGCTAACTGTTGTAAATAACGTAATAATGTGTACATAAGGTTTTGCTTTCCTTTCTATTATTAGCGGCCACACAGGTCATTGGCAGTAATTGCAGATTAGTTGTTTTAAGTCATTGTTTGTCTTATGTTGATGACATAGGAGAGACTTCCAAGAGCTTTAGTCATCAGGAGTCCTACTTTGTCTTTCAAACAGGGTGTAGCCTGTCTTCTTCTTTTCCTCATTCTTTCCACTTTTCGCAGGCTTATAATCTTGTCCAGTGAGCCACGTCATTTCATGGTTTGCCCAAATGCAATGGTGTCAGCTTCTAGTGAGGCTTGGTTTATCTTTTGACAGTCAACTTTATCCATAAAAGCCCTACACAAAGAAAGGCAATAGATTGCCTTTCTTTTATTCTGTAATTTAATTTTGGGTCATGTTCTTTCCATCCAGAAGATCTCTTCAATTTTTGTAACTCTAAAAGCCACCAAACAAAATTAATACCTGTCTTTTATGATGAAATCCCATTCTCTAAATATGATACTGGAGTTTGGCTCATGGTATAGCAGGTATGGGCAAACTTCGGTCCTCCAGGTGTTTTGGACTTCAACTCCCATAAATCCCAGCTGGCTGATTGTGGGAGTTGAAGTCCACCTGGAGAGCCAAAGTTTGCTCATGTCTGTAGTATAGTGAATGCAAGGAATGAAGACTCTGTCCTCCAAATATTGATTTTTTTCATGTCAGGAGCAACTCGAGAAACTGCAGGTCACTTCTATTGTGAGAGAATTGGCCGTCTGCAAGGATGTTGCCCAGGGGACGCTGAGATGTTTTGATGTTTTACCATCCTTGTGGCAGGTTTTTCTCATGTCCCTGCATGGGGAGCCAGAGCTGACAGAGGGAGCTCATCCACACTCTCCCTGGATTCGAACCTCTGACCTTTCAGTCTTCAGTCCTGTCAGCACAAGGTTTAACCCATTGTGCCACCAGAGGCTCCCCAAATATTGACGAATGACTGCTGTTAACATGTGATTTATATATTATTCGTGATATATCACACAAAACTAAACTTAGGAAGATATGTGCCATCATATTTCCCATTTCTGGGAAGAGATAGAAACTGGCAGAAAAACAGTTGGGACTGTGGTGCAGCTGGCTGGAAGTCAGCTGCATTAAGATCACTACTGACCAAAAGGTCATGAGTTCGAAGACAGCCCAGGTCAGAATGAACTTCTGACCAATTTTTGTAGCTTGCTGTTGACCTTTGCAGCCTGAAAGACAGTTGCATCTCTCAAGTAGGAAATTTAGGTACCACTTATGCGGGGAGGCTAATTTCTCCAGGAAGCATGTAAAGAATGAGGAAGTACTTAATCAGTGTCACAAATGGATGGTGAAGCGACAGCTCCCCTGGTGGCCAGAATACCCATGAAAAAGCTGGAATGTTAAATAGCCTCTGTGTGTCTGTCTATATATGTTGTGTGTCTATGGCATTGAATGTTTGCCATGTATATGTACATTGTAATCCGCCCTGAGTCCCCTGCGGAGTGAGAAGGGCGGAATATAAATACTGAAAATAAATAATAAATAAACTCATTTGAGATGTGCTGGAGAAGAGTTCTGCAGATGCCATGTTCTGCTAAAAAGACAAATAAATAGGTCCACAAGTTAATCAAGCAAGAACCTTCTCTAGAAGCAAGATGACTAAACTGAGGCTATCATCCTATGACCATATTATTTATTTATTTATTTATTTATTTGGTGCATTTATTGACCGCCGCTCTCAGCCCTAGGGCGACTCGCGGCGGTGAACAACATATAAAACAGTTTACAAAAAAGCAAACAAGAAATTCACACAACAATAATACACAATACTGTAAGTTACACTAAATAATCCGCTCCGTCATATCGTAGAATCATACCCAATATCGTAGTCCATATTCCGTTCCAGATGTCAATTACCAGTTGCCGTAGTATTCAGTTAAATGCCTTATGGGTTGACTCACTAGATAAGATGATTATAGCTGGTAAAGTGGAAGGAAGGAGGAAAAGAGAAAGACCACATTCCAGATGGAAAGATATCACCAGGAAAGCAACAACCCTGAGTCTGGACTTGAGCGGGGCTCCAGAGGATAGTGAATCTTGGCCATCTCTTGTTCATGAGATCTCCAGAAATTGAAGTCAACTTGGAGACTAGAAGTAAACAATAACAACACTTTACCACTGGCCAGACTGGCTTTACTTAATATTTGGCTGTTAACGGGAGCGGATATAAGAAAACATATTATCCAGCTCCTGAAACAGCTGCATTGGCTCCCAACTAGTTTCCAGGTCTCATCCAAAGTGCTGGTTTTGACCTTTAAACCCTTCATGGCATCGGTCCAGATTACCTGAGACATCGGGTTCCTTTGTACACACCAGGGAGAGCAATAACATCAAGTGGGGAAATGCTGGTGTCCTTAATTAAGCAGCTGTGACACTCTGAATTTGAAGATCACTAGAGAGGGGTCCTTCTCAGGAGTGGTTCCCTCTCTTTGGAATGCCCTCCCAGGAAAGATAAAATCTGCACTCTCTTTGTTGGTATTCAGGAAGAGACTAAAAACCTTCCTTTTTGAGGAAGTCTTCCGAGGAAACTAGTAATATCTGAAGGTTAGGCAGGACCTTTGACTTCATTAGAGTGATTTTTAATGTATTTTATTGGGGTTTTAATTAGTGTTTCACAGCATTTGCTCATATTTATGGTTTTAGCTTGTTTATAATTTTTATATTGTATGTTTTTTCTAGCTTTAAGCCCCAGTGGTGCAGTGGGTTAAACCGGTGAGCTGCTGAACTTGCTGATTGAAAGACTGGTGGTTCGAATCTGAGGAATGGGGTGAGCTCCCACTGTTAGCCCCAGCTTCTGCCAACCTAGCAGTTGAAAACATGCAAATGTGAGTAGATCAATATGTACCACTCCAGCGGGAAGGTAATGGCACTCCATGCTGGCCACATGACCTTGGAGTTGCGGACAATGCCCAGCTCTTCAGCTTAGCAATGGAGATCACCAACTCCCAATTGGACACGACTAGACTTAATGTGAAGGGGAAACCATTACCTTTACCCTAAGCTGCCTTGGACCCTTGACTGGGGAAAGGTGGGATATAAATTCCGTAAATAAAGAAATAAATTTCCCCCATCCAGTTTTGTGAGCTACACTTGCCTGCCAACCTCATCTCCCAGTGACTTATCAGTCCCACCCATGTTTTTAATCGAAAACAAACACACGTCAAATGTTGTTTGAGGAATGCTTCCATCTCATCATAAGTTTTGCATACAGTTCCTCCACGCAAGCAGATTGAAACTCCTCCTCTCCTGCAATGCATTAAAACCAGAAATGAAACTAACACAGAGATTTGTTTCCTTCAGCTTCTGCAAAGGGCAGCCATGGCATATAGGGCTCTGCCGCAA